GCAACTTTCCAAGCATGTCTTGGTCTGAGACCCCACTTCCCAGTGAGTCTCCAACAGTCAGCACCTCTTCAGTAACACTTACCTCTCAGAGCACCACCAGCACTCCACATGTGGTCTCTTCTGCTTCCACCATGAGGCCGCTTTCTACCACCCATCCGGCCACTATGGTTACTGGGGCCAAACCCACTACCCCGCCACTTACCACAACCACCACGGCCATCACACGAACCCACGTGGCATTCAGCACAGCCAGGACATCACCTGTCCATATGACACAACCTTCCTCCACAACGCACCAGCAACCCACATCTTCCCTTACCACCATCACCTCCCACCCCAGCAATACAGGAACCGAGACCACAGGTGCCTCTACCATGTCTACCACACCGAGTATTCCCCACACCCCTTCCTCCACACACTCCTCTCCCACACTGTCAGTCTCCCACACGACACACCACACAGGGCCCACCTCATCTACATCCCTCAAGACCACCAGCCAGTTCCCAACTACTTCTGTGCCCCAGACCTCACCTAACAAGCCTGTGACAATCACCACATCTTTGGTCTCCCCTTCCTCTCAGAGACACAGCTCTCCTACCAGTCTGTCGAAATCCTCTTCTGCCTCTTTTGCTACACCAGTCAGCAGCAGCATCAGCAGCTCACAGCCAGCCCCTGGCCTGACCACAACCACTGCAGCCTCTGTGCCCACTGCCAGCAGCCTTTTGTCATCTGGGCCCCCAAACTCCAGCCACAGCCCTTTGCCCCCATCTCTTTCAAGTCCCACGTCTCCACAAGCCAGCTTCACCACTTCTCTTTCTCCTACTAAGGTTGTGTCCTCCTCTGCCTCTGCCCCAAAGACCTCCCCGAGTTCCCCCTCTCCTCCCTTGTCCTCATCCTCCATGCCCCCTGTAACCGCCATTGTGGTCCCTTCTACTTCGTTTCCAGCAGCACCCACATCGTCCCTTCCCTCTGCTTCTCCCCCTCCTTCTCCCCTGCCTCCCTCAATCTTGCCATCTATCACCTCACCTGTCCTCTCTCCCCTGCCCACCACAGTCACAGTGCACCTGTCCCCGTCCCTGGCCTCCAGCACAGGCTCTCAGTCCACATTCAGGACCACGTCCCAGGCCCCCACACCTTCCACCCTCTCCTCTCAGGCCACCACCTTGCAGGTCACCACTCTTACCAGTATGGCCCTTGTGTCTGGCGTAGTGTCCTCGACCTTGGGGACCACATCTTCCCCCCACTCTCTGTCCACCAACCTCACCACTAGACATCCTGCAGCCACCCAGCTGCCCACATCTACATTCCCGTCTAGCCCATCTGCTTCCCACACCACCTCAGCCAGCACCCTGCAGGCTCAGTCCACTGTGAGGCCTTGGATGTCCCCTCTGGTGACCTCTCCCACTGGCTCTGCAGGTAAGTGCATCCTCCTAGCTGGGGGCAGCATCCCACCCCCCACTCCAGGGGGTCTGACATTCCTTGTCTCTTCAGCCTGCACTCTCCCTGCGGCAGCCTATTGTGACTTTCCAAGCAAAGCTCCCCCAGCTAAGCTCCAGCCCTTGGAAGGGCCTGCCCTCACTGGCCTCTGAGCCTGTGCCTTGCTCCTGGCTCACTCCTACCCATGACCTGTCCTGCAGGTGCCTCCCCCAAGAAACTTGCCTCACTCAGCCGTTGGGGCACTCAGCTGGAGAAGAAAGGGTGCAGGGGCCTTCCCGCCATAGGGTACTCAGCCGGAGGAGGGTGCAGGGGCCCTCCCACCATGGG